ATGTGTATATGATTTTAATTAATTAAGGATTAGCATAGAAAGAAATATACATATATATAATATATGTGTATATATAAATAATATAATATATGTGTGTGTGTGTGTATATTATTTAAAGATTTTTATTATTATTATTTTTTATTTGGTAGTTATACTAGGAATAGGATTCGGTTATTAAGGTGTATAAATATACACATAAGATTTTATCGTGAAAAGGTTTTTCACGTAAGAAAAATAAGAGAGGCAGAGAGAGAGAGGCTGACAAAGAGGAAGCCGGATTAGAGAAAGATGATGTCGGATTTAGGAGAAATAACCAAGGCTTGAGGCGTCAGTTTCGTTTCGAAACCTTCACTCGAGTTTTTCTCTATTTTTCCTCTTAGGAGTCATAAGTATTTCACCTTGAGTATCAAAGCGTTAGGTTAAATTTATTGGTTAAATCATGGTTGAATCGGATTGTTTAAAAGTATGAATTATTATATTTTTATTTTTGGATTATTGGATTTTTATTGTATATATAAGTGTTGTATATATTTTAAAATCAAATTATAGGTTTGATTTATGACCCAAAAGGGTTAATTAGGGTTTCTAGAATTTTTGGGATTTTTTTGATTTTTTTGCAATTTTTTGGGATTATTTTATATTTTCTGAATATTTATTTTGAATTACTTTCTCTATTTTCTAGGCAAAATATATTTTGTTATGTATATATATATATATATAAGGCTCTGTAAATCGACGCATCAACAAGGGCGAGGAATCCAGTGTTGTGCGGAGTATGTTCTAAAGGTTTGCATACATATCTGAGCCATAGAGATAGTGTAGATCAGAAGAAACGAATCGATGTGGCATGGCGTGCACATGTTATGGTGCGCACGAATCTGGGCCATTGAAGAGGGTGAATTGATTTGGTGCAGCGCACCCATGGGAATGCGGTGCAACCGGCTAATAGGGGCGCGCCGCATCACTAAAAAGGACATCCAGCGCCAGTGGCCGCGCGTCTGTGCGCGTGGCAGTGCTTGTGGGGGCACGTGCGCGCGTGCACGCGCGTGGAAAAGGTTGTGGAAATGCGTCCAGGGTGTCTAAGAGAGTGTGGAGGCGCGTAGAAGCACGTGGGGAGGTGTTTGGAGTCTCGAAAGGGTCCTATGAAGTTTGGTGATGTCCCAAAAATGGTTTCAAGCTTATTAGTGTTGAAATCAACCATTAGAGGATATGATCCTGGTGTTCTGAGAGCCATAGAGTGTTAATAAGACATTTAGTATAATGTAATTTGCGTAAATATAATTAATTAATAATTTGTTATGGAAGAAAGTGTGTATATATATATATAATTATTTATATATATGTGTATATGGTTTACTTAATTTATGATTAATATGGAAGGATGTATGTATATATATATATATTTATTGATATATATGTATATATTATTTAAATAATCAATGATTATTGTGGAAGGTATTATACATACATGCATATATATATATAAAATATAATATATGTGTGTGTGTGTATATATATATATATATGTTATTTAAGATTATTAGTATTATTATTTTTATTTGGTATATTATGATTTATAGATAGTATGGTTGATTAAATCATAATAGGCTAATTATTTAATTAATGATATGCTTATAATATGCATGAGATGTTTATGTATGATTTAGCTTATTATTATGTTTAAAGTTGGTACATGATTGAATTGTAGACATGGATGAGTTGCAAAATGCTTAAATATATTGCCTAATTATTGGTATGAATAAAATACATACATAGGAAGTATGAATGAGTTGTTAATTTGAAAGTATAAATATCAACACTTGAGGAGGCATAATTGAATTGCCAATATATAAATAAATAGATTTATAATGGCATGATTGATTTGCCAAAGCATAATTAACTTGCTATGTGTATTACATGATTAAAATTACATCTATGGTTATTGCACGTATGAGTTGGAGGTAATAGATATTCGTATATTATAATAATCTAGTGTTTAAACGTTAGTGTATTATTTTTAATTAATTGGTACGCACACACACATGCCTCTACCAAGGCTCGAACCCCTGATCTTTATTTGGAAAGTAGGAATAATAAAATAATATTGGTGGAGACATGGACGATTTGTCAAAACATATATATTGGATATGTGATTTAAATAATTAAAACTATTATTGGGTTTTGGATTAAATGTAATATTCTTTTATTTATAATTTATTATTTAAATGATTAAATAACTGTCTAGGATGAAATTAATATTAAAGGAGTTTCTTTTTAAAAAAATAAAAAAATAAATTGGTATAAGTATGATCATTGTTTAATAATTGTTTAATGGTTTTGAAAATTTAATGAACCTATTAATGGATATGATTATTGTATTATATATAATTTTTTATATATATGTATCATGGCATATTAAAGTTAAAACTTTATTAGGTTTGGTTTTGGTTAAAAATGGTCTGTTTATTTGTTTTTAGAGGTTTGGTAGAGAGAGCTTGCTCGTGGGTTTGACCCATTTTATTTTTATCTTTCAGGTTATTAGAGGTTCAAGTCTCAAGATTGATGATCCGCAGCTTGGGGGACTTATCTACTCTTTTTTTCTATTTTAAAGTAGGATATTTATCCATTATTAGATGATGGACTTATTTTATAGTTGATTGGTTTATTGAATTTTTTAGGGGTCCTTAAATTACGGGATTCCCGAGTTGTAATTTTGGAGAAGTATTATTGGAATTATTATTTAATAGATTTTCCTTCAGTGAGTTATTTATTCTTTTTATTTCTTTTTTGTAATTTATGTTTGTTTAAAATACTTTAATTATTTTGATATTTCTTGATTTTTGAGTGTGGACTTGATCAACCTACGTCTCTGAAATCAGGGAGTATCACACTAAAACCATTGGACTTGTAGTTTAGACTCTCCTATCTCAAGAAAACAATCCAAGCTCTAAGAACTCCAAACTCGAAATCCTCCAAAAGCTTGCAAACTTGATATCAAAACGAAGCTTTTAAAATGACCTACAACTTTGCTAGCAATGGATTAGCTCAAATCTTCCTCTAGCTTGTGGAATTTTAGAGAAAAAAGAGAAGAATATAGAGAGAGAAATAGAAAGGTAGAGAGAGATGTGTGGTCCGAAATGAGAGGAAGAGAATGGGTGCAAAAAGAAGCCAAGTCACCAATTCTAACACCTTCGTTGGTAAAAGGTCAAAGAAATTCACAATGCCTAAAATGCCCATCAAGTATCACCCCATTTACTCTTATGTCACAAAATATCCCTTTTCCACTCAACGACACACATAATCACACACACACACACCCCTATATATATATCCATGCCTCATATCAATAAATAGGTGAATGAAATAAAATAAAGAAGAACATCGGGACCCACATAGCGCACAAACCAAGACACGTAAAAAAATGAAATAAAAATAAAGAAAAATTCAGAAAAATACGAAATGTTACATTCTCATAATTAGGTTTTCCTACCCATTTAAAAAGGAATCGGAAGTAAATACAATATCTTATCTTTATTCACGCACTTGGATTACTCTTTCAATCTTACTTTTATTTTTCATAGGAGGACTTGATGGCTCACCTTTATCTCTACCAATTTATCATTATGTTGAATCTCTGGAGGTACCTCGTTCATATTTGGTGGATAGATTATACTCTTCCCTAATTTGTAAATGTACTTTAAAACTCGATGGAAATAATTATCCACAATCGCCGTAGGATGTTGATATCTTTCTACCACTATTCAAACACTCTTATTGTGTGCAAGTGTAATGTCCTATATTTTTCCAAATTTTTCAAACACTATTATTGTGTGCAAGTGTAATGTCCTATATTCGAACACTCTTATCGGGGCGGTTTAAGTCTTTTTCTCTAGCCAAGAGTCTTAGAAATGCATTTTTAATTATTCTAAGCCAATTGTTAGTGACAGGATTATTTTTAGAATTTTTTGAAGTCGGGACGACTTCCGGGTTCGAGAACCTCTCCCTGTTTTGCCATTTGCATTAAAGGACATTATAGACATTCCACTCATATATACATATATATGTATCTATGTATTAGATGAGATATTCTGGGGACAAGCATGGCATTGTAATAGAAAAGAGAGAGCAATGTAGTAAGTTTACTTTAAGTTAGAATCCACAATGTGTTGACATGTGGCATCATTTGGACCAGAAGGCAAAAAGGAAGACCAAGCCACCTCCCACTCCTCTTCCCCACTTCGGCCAACCTCCTTCCTTTCTCTTTCTCTCTCTATACCTATATACACATATATGTCTTCTATGTTTCAAGCTCCAATTTGAGAAGTTTGGAGTAGGAATTTGAAGAAGCCATAGAAGGGAAAATGGAAGAGCTTAATAAAGGTTATTTTTTTAGACCACCATTGATAGGGTTTGGAGCAAATTTGAAATTAGGACTAGTTAAGGGCTTGGTTGGCTAACATCCTTGAGCTAGGGATTTCTAAGTCTCACATCCTTTGGTCTTTTGTGAATTTATTGTTGTAAGAGCATGCTAAAGTATATGTATATAATGATGATATATGCATGATGAGTATGTGGTATAGCTTTCAAGAATGAATTTTATGTCAAAGTTGGTCAAGAAGTGTAAATTTGCATGCCTATGTGATTGAATATGGCTTTATATGCTTACATGGTTATATGGTGAAATTTGATGGATTTCAATGTTGACGTCTATGATGTCTATAATGACTTATAGTATAAGAAGGTTATGCATCTTTATACTTTTGGAAAGAGAATATTGAGAGAGAGAAACTAGCCTAAGAAAAAGAAGAGAGTGACTTGGGTGGAGAAATACGACATCGTACTTACTATTTGATTTGCTTGATTTTTTTTTTTTTTTTTTTTTAATTTCGTGAAGTCCAGCACTACTGAAACTATTTTTATTGATATACTATTAATTATATAGGGGTATAAACAACATTTAATCATGTAATTTAACATATGAAACTTGATTATCTGTAATAAGGGAAGTCGATGTAATAAGTGTAAAATGCTCCACTCAAATGTAATTTGACAAAACCCTTAAAAAAAAAACGGAAAAAAAAAAAAAACGTAAACCTCCCAAATCGATTGGGAGAGAGGACGAGACTTCCAGCGACTTTCTCGGTTGAGTGAAAACTTTTATTACCCATCCTCGTCTTCCATCTCCATCTCCATCTCCATCTCGCCCCTCTCTGTGTGGAACGTTGGGCTCGATCTCCTCAAGAAAAATTTTCAGGTCGCAGATTGGAGATCACAACAAATTTTTTTTGCTCTCTCCCCTCGTTATTGCTATGGTTGGATGAGTTTCCTGACTCCGCTTCTTTGTCTTCAAGGAGTCCTTTTCTTCCATCACTAATCAAGTTCTCCAGAGTGAAGCATAGGAGGATGATGGATACAATATTTTTACTTCTTCGCTGAAGTAGAAGAAATTCTGAGGAGGAAAAAACTAGGGCTACAGTACTCCTGATTTGGGTTTTCTGAAATTGTTTTGCTTTGGCCGAACTTTGGTTTTTCAATTATTTTGTTTTTGGTCGTGGTTGGATTTTTCTCTCTCCGAATTTCTGTTCATCTAATTTTGAATCTTTTAGGGGAGAGCTTTTATCCATTTCCTCTTCAATAAACCCGAACCAACTTCTCTCTCATCAGATTCTCTCTCTGTATGTGCGTGCGTGTTGTGACAATAGGCTATGGATTAACAATTTCTTGTCATGGGTAAGATAGAGAAGAAGCAAGGAAGTTGTTCGATGGAATGTCTCAGAGTGACATTGGCCCGGTTTGGTTTGCACTCTCGGAATTGTTTTTGAGAACAATTTTTCAGAAAATCAGAATATAGAATAATTCTTAATTTTTTTAATTTAAAATTCTGCATGGTAAGAAAAACTGTAGAATAATTTTCAAAGAACAAAATTTTTGTATTAAATCAGCACACGTCATATGCAAATATCCAAACTCTTAAATCTTAAATACCAACATAAATAAAAATATTATGAACAATTTGTTCCATCTCATTGATCAAGAACAAGTAACAAACAAGGCCACACATTCCAATTTAAAATTAACAATTTTTTTTTCAGTGAATGTGTTTATTCCATGAGTACCGATGGTGCCCATGCATAATCATTTGAACGTAAGAAATAATAAGGAATTGGGTAAGTTTGGGTATGGGTCAAGTTGATTCCCTTTTGTCTTTGGTTCTATAAAAGTAAACCTCCCAAATCGGTTGTGAGAGAGCACCAGACTTCCAGCGACATTCTAGGGCCCGGCGAAGCTGCAGGTACCTCTTCTGCTTTTTTCTTCAATGTTGTTTACAAGTGTTTGGAATGTTAGGGTAATCGGTGGTAGGGTTTCGTGAAGGGTGTACAGTTAATGTTGATATAGATTAGGTTGGGTGGTGATGGATTTCTGTGAGGATGAAGGCAGCGGGGTTAGGGCTTTGATTGTAGGGCTGCGTTTTATCGGTTCCCGGTAAAGGGTGCTTGGGTTAAGGCCGAAGATTGTCAGAAGGTATGTTGATTTGGGTTGTAATAAACAGAAACAAAGAAGGGTGTGGATCATGGAGAACATTTAGAATCAGAATGAAAGAAGGGGATTATGACAATGGGAAGATGAGATTAGGGCATAAGGCTAGAAGAAAAGGGAAGTTGAGGAGACAAAACAGATAGGATTGACTGAGGTGTAGAGAACAGCAATAAATGGGGGAAAGTTCTCTGACAGTCAATATTTACTCACTATCACATTTCCATTCTATCAGATTTTGTATATGTGCCCTCTTAAATTTTTGTGTTAGTTGTTGGTTGATATGTAATTTTTTGCCATTTGCCTGATGTTTCAAGTTCTAAAAGGTTCAACCGTTTGTGTAGAAAGGAAGCTCATCGATTGTGTCCCCAGATGACTTATGTCGCTGGACGAACAAGATTCAGCGCTTGGGTCGGAAGGTGTGGATGGGCTGCCCCCTCTTATTGAAGCTTTAGAAACTCTGAGGTAGAAGTTCGGATTCATCTTGGATTTGTTTCTTTCTTTCACTGTACTTATGCACACAGAGGGAAACTATATATATATATATATCTTCTTCTTCTTTTTCATCTTTTGGTAATTTTGGATTTGTTTGAGGTTTTTTTTGGTTTTTTGTCAGCCACAATGTTCAGTGGATCCCTAAAGATTCTATTTTCAAGTTGATTATCATGTTTTTCCTGCCGGAAATGGTATGGTTCTCTAGCATATCACTCACATTGATAGTAGAAAATCCATCATTCAGATCAATTAAGTATGTTGATATAAATTAGAGTAATGTTGTTCCAAAAGTCGCTTATTGTGATTCGTTATTATTTTGTGACAGAAAAAACAATTGGAGGTTATTAGGTTTCGAGTATCAGACATGGAGAAAAAGGACGTTCAGGACGTCATTTGCCATTATGCAGAGGAAGGAAAGCTCATAGAGTTGGCTGCTTTGCTTTCGATATATTCACGTTCTTTTTTCTCATCAGTTTCTCTAGCTTTTCATGTTAATGTTGGTGACCCAAAGTTAAGTAGAATGGAGACATTACGTGAACAGATTGTCTCTATGATCATGGCATATAATGAAGAGGAGCGGTGGATATTAATGGGCAGTGGTAGCAGTAAATTGGCTCAGGCATGCAAGGACAAAAAGAGGTTGATGATGTCGGTGATGTTGTTGCTTGAGATCTATGAAAGGATCGGTCTTAAGATAGAATATTACCTGCACGAGGCGCATGCCACTGTATGTTAACAATACTTACTCAGTTCCTCTGCTCTCATGATATTGATGACATTGGTGCTAATCGTGCCCAATAACGTTAATGTTTGTTGACCTCGTGCAATACCGGTAGATCCCTTTTCTATTTTTTATTTTATTATTATTATTATTATTTTTTTAATAAGATCCTTTTGAGTGGGGTTTGATTGTAGAATTTGGCATGTTTACAACACATTTTTCTGTTCCTTCTCTCTCTTCGGTTTAAGCAAATTCGTTAATTATATTTGCCTTTTTTTTGGTTTCTTGCAGTGGAGAGGTTGGCCAGAGCAGGGTTTAATAATGGCAACATATGTTTCAAGACTTCTCAAGATTTCAAACTTCCAATCACGAATGAACTTTTTCACGTTTTTAAACATCAGGCCTGGTTTCTCATGTCATCTACTTGTAGTTTATATAGTCTTTTGTTTCATTCTTGGCTTGGATTTGTTTGCTATTGTGGTTTGTAAAATGTTTACCCTGAATTCTTAATAGCCAAAGCTAATGGATATCTTCTTCTTTTGTTCCATATCTGGACGTAAATTTCATGGTTTGTTGGTGAAAATTTCTTGGATGAGCGGCGAGTGAAGCTGTCAGGTTGTTGTTTGATTCCTTTCTCTTACAATAAGCTCACTTATATTTCATGAGTGTGGCAAAGAAAAAACAGTTTGACACATCTTGTTCAAAGTTGTTAATGGTATAATGTTTTTTCTTGTCAACTGATTCAGGTATGGATTACGAATATGAATTTGAACAAAAAAAAACCTCCTCAATGTTCGTGAAAATTCACAGTCTTCCAATAACAAAGGTAATAAAAATTATAGCTAACTTCTTTATTTTATTTTATTTTCTTTTACCAAGTGTTAGTGAGGTTTTTATCTCACACAATTTCCTAGCAAGAGATATGTTCAATCAATAATAATAAAGGAAGTTAGTTCATGATAGTATGATTAGACTTGGGACTTGGAATATAGGAATATTGACGTGCAAGAAATGGAGTTGGTAGTCATTATGATTAGGAAAGTTGATATTCTTATGTCTACATGAAACTAAGTCAGTAAAAGGTCAGAAATAGTGAGAACACAGAATATAAAATTTATTAAACTGGAAAAGATAAACATAAAAATGGAGTAGAGATAATTATTTATGATAATATTAAAGATGTTATAATTAATATTAGAAAGTGGCTGGATAATATAGTCAGCACTTAGCACTTGTGCACCCCAAAGTAGGAAAATTAGACGTGGAAGGAGACTTTAATTGTTATGTAGGAAAAGCATGTCGAGGGTATGAGATGGTACATGTTGGACATGGATTTGGAGCCATGCCTATCTTCTGCGAACTGATTGGTTGGGTTGGATTGGTGGCCTTTTCTGATGGGTTTTCACTATGCCCCACCTCTTCTCTTTTTGCTTGATTTTGTATATGATTTATGACCAGCCCATGGTCATGTGTCCCACTCCTCTTTTCATTTCTTCGAACTAGCCCATATTTAAAATCCATACCCTTTTGAAGATTCACTAGGCCATACCTTCTTGATGCAGGTCATCCATGATTTAATATATATAATATATAATAATATATATGGGTAAACAAAAAGGTGCAAGTTGCATTCTCTTACTTAGTGAGCAAGGAGGTGACATGTGAGAGCATCATTATGAAAGTGAGTGCAAGTTGCATTCTTTTACTTAGTAAGGAGGTGACATGTGAGAGCATCATTATGAAAGTAAGTGCAAGTTTCATTCATTTACTTAGTGAGTAAGGTGACATGTGAGAAAGTGGGTCCGCATCATTATGAAAGTGAAGGCAAGTTGCATTCCTTTACTTGGTGAGCAAGTTCAGATTAGGCTATAATAAGGCTTACCTTTGTATTTTTGAGGGCAGCTTGAATGAAATTAACAATATGTCAGTTTTATAAACTGTTTGAGCTTTTGCTCTGTGTGAGATATTCATCTCTTTTCCCGCTTCCGCTATGTCAGTTGGTGTCATAACCTTGATTTATCCGGTCTGATGGCAAATGATGGTAATGGTAGTAACCACTCTAGCCTTGATTTACAGTTGCTTCCATCTTCTTGCACATACAGCACCAATTCACCACCATATGTTGTCTCCTTCGAAGGTTATGAAGAGTGAGAATACTCCCGAGGGCGGCTGACCAAGCGAAACAAAGTCACCTTTAACGGAGCTTTGGACTTCCAAATTGCCTTCTAAGGAAAAGAAGGGCCTGGAATCTCAGGCAAGCTTCGGTAGAAAGCCCAAACCATCTCATCCATGCCCTCGGCCTCCGCCACCTAGCTATAGAGTAAAGCTAGGAACTCAGCGACCTCCGTAAGCTTCCAATCATGAAAATCTCTGCGAAACTGCATGTCCCAAATCAACCTCACGTTATCAAGTGTATAACTGTCAACAACCCGAGCTCGTTTGCTCGTGGAGATTCTGAAAAGCCGAGGAAACCTACGAGCAAACACAAAGTCCCCACACCAGCAATCCTCCTAAAACCTGACATGTCTCCCACTCCTAACTTTGAATCAGATGCATTTGGAAAACTCATCCCATCCCTTTCGAATAAGCTTCCAAGCACCCACTCCCACTTGTGATCTCGTCTCCCTAGACAACCACCCACCCTCATCCTCCCCCCAGCGACAAGCAATGACCCTCCTCCATAAAATATGGTCCTCTATCCAACTAGACCAAGTGAATGGCTGTCAGTCCAGCTGCAAATCAATCAACTTGGAAAACTGCTCAAAAGTGCACCTTCCACCCAAAGATCTCTTCAACGGAGATCTACTCTCATTGAAATGCCCACCCACACACCAAGGAAGGGACCAATGCCTCCGGGCTGAACTCAACTCTCCCACAAAGAGTCCCAACCCCATCCTCAACAAAACTGTAAAATTTGGAAAGAGCCTAGTGGAAACCATCGTCCATTGAAAAAAAACACAAGAGAACGAGAACCTCCCTGTCCATGCATCCACCTTGGAGGTCCACGACCTATCCCACATCACAAGAATACCCCTAAAGTACCCGTAGGATCCAACGCCTCCTACTCCGCAAATCACCCACCTTATGGACTCCTCACCACCTTTTCTGGAACTGAAGCCAACTTCGTCTCCTGGGCACCCCACTTCCGCACCACCAACTTCACCTCATTCCTCTTGTCCAAACATTGATACCACGAACATTCCATGAAGCAACACAGAACTTCATCGGCAAACAATGCCTTTCCCCTAACCTTCTCCACCCCTTTCTTACCTTGGTAGTTCACGTATAAATGAGATTTCTCACCTCCCTTTGCCTCTCCCTATTACAAGAAGGATTCTTGTTCTTGTTGACCACCTGGGAAGCACGGACACTCCAAAATGGGCGAAGAATCCGTGTCCGACACGTGTCGGACACGGACACGCGTCGGACACGCCCCGACACGTGTCGGCCACGCAAAAAAACGTGTCTGGAATTTTTTTATTTTTTTTAATTTTCGGACATGGCATGGACGCGGCTCGGATACGGTACGGACACGGCTCAGACAGCTCGGACACGGCTCAGACACGGCTCGGACACACTTTTCTGGAATTTTTTTTTTTTAATTTTTAATGCTGATATGTTATTTTTTTTTTTTAATTTTTAATGCTGATATGTTCTATTTTTTGTTTTGTACTACCCTTTTGGTATTGTAAATGGTAAAAGTCCTAGGTCAAATGATGGATGGGAATAGATAGATAGTACACTGATTTGTTTTTGTATCTTTTTTGGGGACTAGCCTTTAGGTTTTTGTGAATATTAAGTACTAACAGTAAAGTCCTGAATGTTAAACAGTCATGGATGTTAATAGTCCTTTCTGTCTATGCTTTTGTATTTGGAGTAAAGTTGCAATCTAAGAAGCACGGACACGGATACGGGATACGGATACAACACGACACGGATACGGCGACACGGCAAATCCAAAAAAATTAGGACACGGACATGGCAAATAGTATATATATATGTGTGTGTGTGTGTGTGTGATGTAGTACTTTAAAAATTACCGAGTGTTATTATTTTCCATCAACCTCACAATGAGAAAAAATACAAATCATAACTCGTAACTAATAAACTATAAAAGAATAATGTTGCATAGTTATAAAATCAAATAAAAAACAAGACATTAGAATAATAACTAGTATCATTTAATCATCATTGCAACTTTACTTCAAATACAAAAGCATAGACAGAAAGGACTATTAACATTCATGATTGTTTAACATTCAGGACTTTACTGTTAGCACTTAATATTCACAAAAACCTAAAGGCTAGTCCCCAAAAAAGATACAAAAACAAATCAGTGTACTATCATCTATTCCCATCCATCATTTGACCTAGGACTTTTACCATTTACAATACCAAAAGGGTAGTACAAAACAAAAAATAGAACATATCAGCATTAAAAATTAAAAAAAAAAAATAACATATCAGCATTAAAAATTAAAAAAAAAAAATTCCAGAAAAGTGTGTCCGAGCCGTGTCCGAGCTGTCTGAGCCGTGTCCGTGCCGTGTCCGAAAATCAAAAAAAAAAAAAAAAAAATTCCAGACACGTTTTTTGGCGTGTCCGACACGTGTCGGGGCGTGTTGCACACGGATTCTTCGCCCATTTTGGAGTGTCCGTGCTTCCTAGGTTGCAATGATGATTAAATGATACTAATTATTATTCTAATGTCTTGTTTTTTATTTAATTTTATAACTATGCAACATTTTTCTTTTATAGTTTATTAGTTATGAGTTATGATTTGTGTTTTTTTTTCATTGTGATGTTGATGGAAAATAATTACACTCAGTAATTTTTAAAGTACTACATCACATATATATATATATATATATATATACTATTCGCCATGTCCGTGTTCTAATATTTTTGGATTTGCTATGTCGCCGTGTCTGTGTCGTGTCGTATCCATGTCCGTGCTTCTTAGTTGACCACTTTCCACCCATCATCTATGGAGTGGATCATCTCCATTACTCTCTCTTCATTCCCCTCATATGTTAAACCCAAACATGTACTTACATCTCCAATATTCTCCCTCATCCATTCACCCCTCTCAACTCCACCCACACCCTCATTCACATCACCTCTCTCTCTAATGGAACGACTATGGAAAATGGTTCAATCGATCCCGTGCCGTTGTTTTCTTCTTCTTCTCAAGGAATTGTTTGCACGCAAGAGGAGTCGAACCTCAGACCTGATGCTTCCCGAGGCACCAGGGCCAAGTTCTTACCCACTTGAGCCAACCCCATACTAGAACTCTGTGTTCCATAGTCGGTTTAAAATCTTTCTTGGTCCTTGCTAATGTGCCATGTATACATGTGACTACATGAGTATACAAGTATAATTGTATAAGCATTGTTGCACATTGATATCATGTTTAACTTGTCTGTATTCATCTGACAATCACATACAATATTTGCATGTACTAAGGAGTTTCAGTCTATGTTTCTGTCTCTCTAAAGTGGAGATATGTATGTGCGTGTACATATATGTTTTTTTTCCATGTATGCGTATTTCCTAAACTTAGTTAATAGTGATTTTGTACTTTCCAGGTAAAGGAAATTAATTAAAGCCATATTTAGAAATCTTAAATAACTAAGTCATATTATTTATTATGCGTGTATTCCAATGACATGAGGGAGAACATATTCATTAAGAACTAGAATTACATATTCTTAAATTGAAGCAACTAAGGTTTTCACTTGCATTTTCCTACTTATCATAGGCTTGCCTAATCTACTTTATTGTAGGTTGTTTTCCTCCAGTCTCTCTACGGAGATGGATCGCGTCTCTTAACAGATCATCTTTTTCTTCCCTATTTTAGAATACTATATATTTTTTTCTTTTTATTCTTTTTATGTGTGTCTTTAGGACTATGGTATATTCTATTTTGATATAGATTAGTTTATCCTATATGTAAAATTTGAGATTTTCTTTTTAAAATTTAACATATCACAGTTGTTACAAATATCTTCTCATCTTGTCATACTTTTGATTTTAATCTTGCTTTGTAAATATCCATACTTTATGTTTTGTAGTTATATAAAACTAGCATTTAAAGTTTATAGTGTTTCTTGGAAACAGTTTGCCATTTGTCTATATTATATTGACCACATTATTTTAAGTGCATATAGACCATAGAAAATGAAATATATGTTTGAGTGATGTACCTTATGCAGTTATGCGTACCCTATTATGTATGCGTATAATGATTTCTGGATTCACCTATGGGAGCTATAGTTCTAGATTCCACCAAAACATTCCTGTAAATGTATTGTTTAACTCCTATGATTTCATTACTTTTTTTTTTTTTTTTTTAACGTATATTGAAGTTAAAATATTATGTTACAATTATTCTGCCTGCACTTGCTGTAGTGAATAACTCAGCAAAGTGTTCCTGGTACTAAGTTTAAAGAGTAAGGTTGTCATAGGATACTGTATCCCATTTCTGCCTTCCCTCTTTTGTCTTCTCAATTGTGATATTAACTGGTTCTATAACTGTTTGCCTTCCCAATTTTGCAGAAGCGAACCACTAGAATGCCACTTCAGCAGCAACGGAGGTCAATCTCGACACACTCTTCACAGGACAAACCAGGTTTATTTTCTGTGGTGCAGTCATTTTATATGTCACCGAGGTATGAAATAAGCTTCAGTCCAAAGTTTTGCGCAACTACCGAAGCTCAAACAACATTCCAAGTGATCGAAAAACACGTGCCAGGTCTTGTGTTAAGGAAAAGATTGCCCTCTTTTCTATCAGCCATGAAGAGGGTTATTTGATATCCCAAGTAACATCTTTTGAGGTATGGATGATGATTTCATCCTCCCTTTTCAACATATTTCTGGCTAATTTAAGGAGATGTCTCCTTGTGCTGGGATTTACTATTTTCATTTTGTTCTAGGAGCACTATGGAAGTATTTCAAAAAAGGGTTATCTTGGCATAGATCTGCCTTTGGCTTAGATCAATCTAAGTTGAATGAGGTCTCTAGCCCTCTCCTTAAAGAGCAAATGTGAAACTTAATACACCTTAAAAGTTCATAGACGTAGAGATTTTTTGATTGTGTATTCGTTATGTCTATTTTTTTATCTCGCCGACTAAACGCTATGCCTTCACTGACAAGTCCGGGTGTCTCTTCTTGGAAATAGCCAGGGCTTGATGTTGGGCGAGATTTTTGTGTGATTTAGGCTATGTTACCTGGATTCGGCTATGGGTGTCGGACATGGGTGCATGTGTAGGGGTCGGATCCATAGTTCTATCAAATTAGAGACATGGGGACACGAAAAAGAAAATGTCCAGAAGTCAGACACAGGTACTTGGACACGGCAAAAATAAAAATAATTATCAATCACAGATATAGGGCATGGCACACATATACAGGAATACAATAAATAACTTTGTGTTTTAGTCAAAGAGAAAGATGATACAACTGGTAAGTGGTAATGAGAAAGATGTTACAATGGTTCAACTAGTAAGTGGCAAGCAGTAAATTTTGTAAGTAAATACTAAATATATATATACTAATATATAATTATATATATTTATATATGTATGTTACAGCCTTACAGCTATAACCCACAAGTTTTACTTTTACTTGAAAGAAAAATAATAAACAAATAAAAATACTCACAGCAGAACAGGTGCATGATTGTAACCAACATAGTAAGTTAAAAAGAAGTTTTAAAGAGATAGTGGGTGACAGCTGTGTTTAGGCTGTAACCCACACAGTAAGTTTAAAAGTTACTCTAGTAAATTGTAAAGGAATATAGAGGCATGCATTTTTTTAGCCATCTTCTACGTTCAAAACCCTTTTCGACAAACTAGTGAACCACTATTTTTGAACTAGATGTGAAGGTTTCTGTCGTCAGTTGTGTCGGACGAAGTTGAAGCGTCCGACACATATCCCGTGTCCGTGTCGTGTTGACATAGACACCCTCGCCGGTTCCGGCAAGTCTAGGTAACACATGATTTAGGCGAAATGAACTTGAAGATTTCTAGATCGATGAAGTTGACCAACCCACATTCCCACGCTAGTGGAAACTAGGGGTGGCAAAATTCAACCCGACTTGAACACGATACTAAGTTAGTGGGTTTGGGTTGACTTTAATTTTGTTCCCGTCATAATCTTGTCAACCTGTTTAAATAAATAGTGTTGTGTTCGTGTTTTGGAGGTCAACCTATTCAACTCAACTATTCAACTCAACTATACCTGTTTAATTAATTGTGTCTTGGATGGAGTTATCTCGGAATCCTATAATGCTTTTATCGATGGTAGTCCGATTTTGGATTCTACTCTTGTTACCAGTGAGTGTGTGGACTCTAGATTGAGTTGTGGCATTCCAAGAGCTCTATGTAAGCTTGATATTGAGAAAGCAGATGATCATGTTTGTTGGAGTTTTTTGTTGTACACGTTGGAGAGTTGGGCTTAGGGAGAGGTGGAGGAGGTGGATCGAGTTCTGCATTTCATCTGTGAGGTTTTCGGTTATGGTGAATGAGGCTCCGTCTGGCTTATTTGGCAGTTCCCGGGGATTGAGACAAGGAGATTCGCTCTCTGTTTTTTTTTGTTCATCCTCGCTATAGAGGCCCTTAGCAGGTTGATGAGGAGGGCTGTGGACTTGGGATTTATTAGGGGCTTTAGGGTGGCAGAGATTTGGATCATTTGCTCGAGATCTCCCATTTGTTATTTATGGATGATACTTTGGTGTTTTGTGATGCAGATGTGTCCCCTGAGATACTTAAGGTGTGTCTTTGTTTGCTTTCAGGTTGTCTCTGGCCTAAAATTGAACGTGGGGAAGAGCTCCTTGGTTCTGGTGGGGGAGGTGCAGGACATTGCCAATCTTGCTGCGGTGCTAGGGTGTGGGGTTTCCTCTTTCCCCATTTCTTATTTGGGTTTGCCTTTGGGTTGGCCGTCGAGAAGGGTGGGGGCTGGACCCTGTGATCGAGAGGTTCGAGAAGAGGCATGCCGAGTGGAAGAAGTAATATCTTTTTAAGGGTGGGAAGGTTACCCTCATGAAAAGCACGTTGTCAAGCCTTCCTATATATTTCCTCTCTTTTTCAGATTCCAATTTCTATGGCTGAAAGGATTGAGAAGGTCAGCGGAATTTCCTTTGGGGTGGATTGGGGGATGAATTCAACTATCACCTTGTTCGATGGGAGCAGGTGTGTAGACCTCTTCAGTTGGGAGGCTTGGGTATCATGAGGGTTATCCTTTTCAATAAGGCTTTGCTAGGGAAGTGGTTGTGTAGATTTGGAGGTGAGCGCCATTGGGTATGGAGGACAGTCATCTCTTGCCGTTTTGGGGAGGAAAGAGATGTGTGGTGCTCCCGAGTGGTGAGATCTTCCGAGCGTTGGTGTTTGGAAGTTTATTCGAAAGGGTTAGGATGATTTCCAAACATATCAGATTCAGAGTTTGAGAGGGCAACTCAGATTTGGGAGGACATATGGTGTGGCGAGCGTTCGTTGGCTTTTTCGTTTCCCAGGCTCTTCAAGATTGCCCTTGACAGGCATGCTCGGGTGGCCGACTTTTATTGGCTTGATAGCGGGAGGATCACTTGGGATGTGCATTTTCAGCGACAGTTTCATGATTGGGATCTGGACGACATTCCAGACTAGTTGGATCCAAAGTTGTTAAAATCCCGATTCTTGATCATAGAATCTTACGATTCTACGATCTCAAATTGCCAAACTGATCTCGATCCCATCTAAAATCTCTGGGAAGTGGAATCTTAGTAGAATCTATAAAGTCAGAATTAGGATCGTAAAATCGCTTAGAATCTTACGATTCTATCGATTATACTAAATTGTGTTATTTTGTTCTTCTTCCGAATTTATTTGGGCCTTCAATTAATTTTGGACTTAATAAATTTAATTATTTTAAATATAAGGTCCAACTCTTTAGCCTAATTACATTTAAAAATAACGAATGTCAAATGTAAAGACGATCACACTCTGATTTTCAAAGGTATGGTGCAAAATTTCAAAATTTTCCTATATTTTTTTATTCTTCTTAATTTCTCTTTTCTTCTCTCTTTTTCAGTACAAGGAACAAAAATAATATTATTTTCACCTATTCTTCGTCAATTTTGAAACAAAAATAAAGAAATACTTTTTTTTTCTGTTGTAGTGACCATTTTCTGTATTAAATGTGACCATAGGTTGAAAGCATCAGTATTTTGTTGTGATTGTGGTCTGACTGTCCAAAATATATGGTAATGGGCTGCATGATTCTGATACCCTAACTTGTAAGGAGGCAAGAGTTACGGAAATAGTTGAATGACTTGGGATAAGGGACCTGCTCTGGTCCTCATTCCACTTGATTAAGTGCCTTTTGCTTGCTGATGATGTTTATTTCAGTATTATTCATGCATTTCTCATTGAGAACTGAGACCATCCCTCTTTTTTATGTATGATATGCCAACTTCTTTTGTGTTTTTTTTTTTGTAGGTGATTGTTGGTGGAAGCAGTGGAGGTGGTGGAGCTGCAGCAGCAGCTCCTGGAGGCGGTGGTGCCCCAGATGCTGAAGCACCTCCTGCTCCTGAGAAAAAGGAAGAAAAAGAGGAGAGTGATGATGATCTCACTCTTTGATTAGTACATCTTTATATATGATGTACCCTCACTTATTCAAGTCTATTCTATCTCTAGAATTTTTGATAGTTTGAATTGAGAACTTGTGAATTGATGGAGAGTTCTTGTTTACCTCATGGTTATCTTTTTTTTAAGAAAGCTTGTTCGTCATGGTTATCTTAGTTTCAAATAAATAATTGTGTCAAAAAATGTCTTCCAGGTTTTTGAAGTATATGTTATATTGAAGATGAAATTTGAATGATTGAGAGTTGAGAACGGGGGCGATAGCTAACAACAGTGGTGTTGATGCTTGGGCTAGTCTGGCTAGATGGGTTGTTATAGATTGTTGTTGAGCGTGGTAGTGTTCATTGTGTTCTTTTCCATGATCTGATCTTCTTGAGTGGTGTTCATTTTCAGTTAAAATTGTTTTTAGAGAACTGAAAATTAAAAAAGAAAAGGGAGATGATATTGGCGCTACAATTTTATCCTTTGGCGCTCTCCTCTCTAACTTCCTATAATTATAGGACCAATTTACCCCTGTTCAAGCCATCTCTGTCAACAGTCAATTGGGGGCTCTGTTGGTTCTTTCAGGCCCTACTTTCTCTCTCCATCTCCAAAATAATAATCTTTTTGTGCTCTATTCATCACTGTTTTTTTCTATTTATCTTCTTTCTTTTTATTCTTTTTATTTATTTTTTTCTTTTTCTTTTTTCTTTTTAGTTTCTGATTCCTATCATTGCAAATTTTCTTAAAAACTTCGAAACATATAGACAAGGCAGCAGAAGGGCATATATACCCAGAAAGTATAGAACAAAATCAATAATCTTTTACAATTTGGTATTTTTGTAATTGAATAATGGACCCAGATTAGTTTGGTGCCTAGAATTACTCACTATGATTCTTCGATTGATGGATTATACAGAGTATATGTATCTAGAAAATTCAGAACTTTCTCAATATAAATACATGTATATATGTATGTATATATATATATATATAAATATAAATATTTGGTATAAGGATTGTGATTTGTAGAGGCAGATGTTGCTTTTGTGAAGAGAATGAAGGAGCCGCTACAGTCGTCGCCGTTCGCCGATGCTGACTACCGTACCTTCTCGCGGCTTTCACGTTGAGTTTTGAAGGCCTTCAATATTTTTTCGATTATTATTAGTAGGTTGGAAGAGCGATCAACCAGAAAAAGAAGAAAAAAAAAAAGAGAGAAAATTTGAGAGAGAATAGACAATGAGAGTGAAATAACTTCTCTCTCTCTCTCCTGTTGTGCACCGTGGTCGCTGCTTCTATACCTTCATTGAAGGGGAAGGACACTTTAGTAATTAAACTTTGATATGGAGGGCCAGATGATAAAATTGGAGCCTCGGTAACCCCTCCCAAAGAAAACAGCTTTTTGAAAATTCAATTATAAAAAAATAATGATAATTCAATTTGATTTCAAATAATTGAAGTTTTCTGAATTTTTCTATTTTGAGAGTTACAGACTAGATGGGTGTTATAGATTGTTGTTGAGACTAGGTGTAGCGGGCGCTTGCCCTCAATCCAAAGCTTACACGGGTGGGTAGTGTTCATTTTCATGATCTGATCCTCTTGGGTGGTGTTCATTTTCAGTTAAAATTGTTTTCAGAGAACAGCAAATTAGAAATATATATACAGCAAATTAGAAATATATATATATATATATATATATATATATATATATATATATAGCTTTTTGAAAATTCAATTATACAAAAAAAAAAAAAAAAAAAAAAAGAAGAAAAAGCTCAATTTGATTTCAAATAACTGAAGTTTTTTGAATTCTTCCATTTTCAAAGTTATAAACTAAATAGGTCTTAAGCTATTGGGTAATGATTTTGTAAGAATTTATTATTATTATTTTTTACCCTTTGTTTTGTGACAAAATTGAAATAAATAAAAATATTGAGGTGCTAGTAAAACTAAACTTAAACTTAAAAATATTCAGGTCTCATGTACATTACTGGGAAGGAAAGAGATTATTATAGAAATTTTAAATTAAATATTATCATAAATTACACAAATTTTAAATTGTAATATTATCCTCTATGAATTACTATAACATAGATACTATAGGACATAATGGTAAAAATAATGTAAAACTTTATCTTTCATTCTCTCTAACATAATAAATTAGGAGATTATGCTTTTATCTTCCATCCAATCAAACAAAAAAAAAAAAACATGCATAATCTCTTTCATAGTGATGTCCTATCCATCATTTCTTCTTTTTCTTCCGTCCAATTATTTTATTTCCTACCGGAGCATCAAACTTTCATTTCTTCAGAAGTATTGGATTATAAGACTTGGAAGTATTCTAAAGGGGTTAACTCATTGTACACATTTTCAGACTGTTTGGGCCAAAAATTACTGTAGCTTATAATTGCAACTTTTATAATCCACATGTAAAATGAAAATGAGCAACATTTCTTCCGTCCAATTATTCTATTGATGGACTCTTATATTGTTTGATTTGAGCATAATTTTGAAACTTAAATGACTTTTTCGAGAAACTGTAACCTTTTCTTTGATTTTCTTGGAAGAATGACCATAAAAATGATGTGATGGAGGTTTATATTGTTCTATTCAAGCTTCATTTTAAAAGTTGTATATATATTTGGGGAAACCCTATTATTATTATTATTAGAATAAGGACCACAAAATAGACCAAATACCAGCCACCAATTGGTCCAATTCCATTTGAGAGTGTAACGGGCATGGTTGTGTAGATAATTCAAAGTTTACCCATTTTGCATGAAACTTAGAGAAGCTCTTAAAACTAACTCGAGGAAGGGAAGAGATAGATAATAAATATTAATACTTGAAACTTTCAATTGTGGAGAGACTTTGAAAATCCATAGAGTGAAGTAATCCCTCTCAAATGGTGAGTGACTCCCCTGTTTGAGTGAATAGTTGTTCAAGTGTGTAAATCCAATCTCGAAACTACAGTAACTAATTAAGTGAATTGGATTTACTCAATGCCATTAATAAATATATCTGGTGGTTTTCTGTTCAGACTTAGAAGAAAAGAACTTTGCATATAAGATTAAACTAAAATATGGTGATTAAAAGAGTTTTACTTAGACAAAGAAATAACTCGAGAATACTGAACACAAGCAGAAAAACTAATTGTTCATATAGCCTTCAAATAAAGCAAGTACTTACAAGATCTCACTCCTATACATGCTTAACTAATTAAGTGAATTGGATTCACTCATTGCCATTAATAAATATATTCATGGTGGTTTTCTGATCAGACTTAGAAAGAAAAGAACCTTGCATATAAGATTAAACTAAAATATGGTGGTTAAAAGAGTTTTACTTAGACAAAGAAATAACTAGAGAATACTGAACACAAGCAGAAAAACTAATTGTTCATATGGCCTTCAAATAAAGCAAGTACTTACAAGATCTCACTCCTATATATGCTTAATATAACATGGTCAGATCCTAATATAAGTACTCAGCCCCATCATGGCCTAGGTGATGGATCTCTTTTACTGATCACTTATGTTGTATTTGCACCACCAAGAAGCAAAAATTTCCAATCCTTCACCTCCTATTGCCAGTGAAATTACAATTCCTCCACCTGTATTATCATTTCTATTCCCAAAGTTGCTGAATTACCCATTTTCACATTAATTGGTTGCATCTATTCTTATCTTCTCTGAAGTAAAAATTCAGAATGAAATAGATGTTACTGATTAAGGTGAGACAATGAATTTAGTTAATGGGCATGGTATCATCTGTAATTTTATATATCATCTTCAGAGCATTCGAGTAAATCCATCATGTTATTTCTTTTACTTGCACAAATATATTTATACATGGTTGACTACATGATTCTTGTTTTATCTTTCTTCTTCCCTAGTTGGTAGTAAAAATTATACTAAATCTAATGGATGTGATTGATGACAATGTGGTGGCAGTAGAAGTGGAGGACCTTACAGACATTACCGATGATGCAAAACTAGTATGTGATGATTCTCATATTGAAATTTTCATCATTCGTATGGAGGAAGAAGTGAAGTTTGGTAATCGGACTTCCGAAACTTTTAGCACAATTGATTGGAGGAATTTAGTAGAATGCATGAGGTCCATATAGGGAATAAGTCCACAAGGAGCCAAATTAGGAACAAATTCAACCACTTGAGGTTAGACTACAAAGAATTTAAGAAATTGTTAGCAGAAACAAGCATGGGATACAATGTTGAGACTGGCATGGTTATAGTTGAAGAGGAAAGATTGGATAGGTTGATTAAGGTTTCTTATTCAAATTAATGTATCTTAAATTTACAAATGTAGACTTAACTTAATGTTACTAGTACATTAATAATTTGTAGGATAATAAAGGTGCAAAAAAGTTTCGAAAGAAGGGATGTAAGCATTTTGACAAGCTCACCATCTTTGGAGACACATATGCTATAGGTGCACATGTCCATTCTTCGACTAGACCACCCACTATCAACCAAGACCATACAACCATGCATATAGGGCTGCAAATGAACCGAGCCTAGCCGAGCCGAGCTTTGGGTTGCTCGGGCTCGGTTCGGCAGAGATTCAACAAGCTCGAGCCTGGCTCGATTACATACACAACAATCACCCATTCAAGAAATCATCCATGAAATCTTATCTCCTCCGACAAGAATGAAATCCATCTGATCTCCATCTCCGATACGACTGCAATCCATTCGAACTCCATCTTCGACAAGAAAGAAAAAATATAATTATAAAACAAATTTTCAAAATGATAGCAAAGTTTCCAAGGTTTTACCGACTTGATCTACAGTATTGTTGCACAATTCCATGTTAGATCCTTTAAGAGAGAGAGAGAAAGGAGGTTTGT